GACAGACAGACAGACAGACAGACAGACAGACAGACAGACAGACAAACAGACAGACAGACAGACAGACAGACAGACATGGTTACCTTTGTACAGAATTGGTCTCCCATTCCTTCAAGTTCTGCGACTGCGGCAAGTTTTCCGCTCTGTGGTCGTAGCCACCGTTGGCCCACTTCCGTTTGCCCTCTGTGTCAGCAGAGAAAACAGACAAAACACCAGGTCTAAGGGAAGTTTTGGTCAGTTTTTTACAGCACTCGCAACACAAATAGGTCATATAAGTTCTGGAGATTAAAGGTGTTCATGGAGAGTAGCATGCAGAGAAAAGAAGGAGGAGAGATAAGTTTAGTAAGAGTTTTACGGCACTTGCAACACAATAAGGTGATATAAGTGCCCAAGATTAGAGGTGTTACAAGAGAGTAACAAACAAAAAAGAAGTAGGGGAGATAAAGACGATAGATGTTTGAAAGAAAAGAAGAAGCAAACCACACCAGAGCACCTGCCAACCACCCACTATAAGTCCAGGAGATTAGAGTCGTTCCTGGAGAGCAGCGCGCAAAGAAAAGAAGGAGGAGAGATAAGAACGATAGATGTTGGCTAGGAAAGAAGGAACAACCCACAGCAGAGCACCTGCCAACCACCCACAACATCAGATCCAAGCTTTGTTTGCTTGAGTAAAGACAGACTCATTCATTCAATAACTGCGATTCATCTATCTGGAACTCTCTGCCACAACATTTGAGGGTTGAAAAGTTAGAGGAAACTCTAATCTCCGGAGATAATCCATTAGATCAATTACTTCTAGATGGGCCAAAACTGCCGAAACTATTAATTTTAATTTCCAAGACAGATAATTTTGTCCCAATCAATTATCAACCCACCACATGCCACATTCATCATTATTTAATTTAATCCCTGGGTCACCTCCCCACCCGTGGGCTGTAGTTTGCCCATGCCTGGCCTACATAGTAGATCAGACGTGAGACCAGTTTAGTTTAGTTTTAGTAGGAGTTTTACAGCGCTCGCAACTGCATAAGGTCATATGAGTGCCAAGGGGTGGATGTCAACAGAGAAGTCCATACAGGGAATCAGGCTTACTCTGCCACCTCTCTAGCTTCTACAGCACAAAGTCTGCTTCGGCTATCAAAGCACCCAGGAAATAGCAGTTCACAAGAGAAGGACAAACATACAAAAGAAGTTGAGGAAAAATGACGATAGTAAGGATTAGGAAAGAAAAAGCAGCAGTTCCCTGTTGGAGTTCAGGCACAGTTATGAGCATGACATTGATGAATCAGCCCATTTACAATTCTACTGAGCATAAGAACAAGTGAATGTCCCGCCTTTGGGAAAGGCCTAAAGACACCTCAGTCAGTAGCACCGCCCTAGAGACGTATACACGTGGGTACTGACCCGTGGTCTGTGGTTTGCCCAT